CACTGTAAATCTTGTTACTTGAGAACAAATAAGATTTTTGACTCGTCCTAGCCCTGCATTATAGCTACTTATAATATACATTGTATCGAAATTTATCAAGCTATTTACAACCTAGACCATTTTGCCTTCAGATGTTAAATAACTCAGCGATAGTTTGATGAATCAATCTTATAATTTCAGCAGCAAGTACTTTACTAAGCGAAAGTAGTGCACTAATGACTATCACAAAATTGTCAAAACTCTGGAGTCTCTTGTACTCAATTATATGAGATCATCTTTCGAAGAACGAAAGACTAAGAGTTGAACTATAATTTCATGCTGAAAGATCGGTAACTACTGGTATATATTTTTCTAGAAACAGCATATGAATGAGTAAACCTATTTTGTTTTTGTCAAATGGAGTTATCCATCAAACTATCGCTAAGTTATTGATCGTTCAATGGCAATTCAAGCTGTATTTGCATATCCATGATTTCAGTAATAATAGTTTTGTTCATCAATAGTTTGATAAATTTCAATAAAATCTATATCAGAAATAAGTACAATGCAGGTCTACTAAATGAGAGAAATTAAACAAATAAGAAAACTTATTTGTTCTTGAATTATAAGATTCACAGTGATCGCGTAGCTTGAATGGTCTTTTTTTTGTCAATGTTACTGCTAGTCTGTATTATCTGTGAATTTCGTAAATTTTCAGAAGTGAGCAATTTTTTAAAATTTATTGAATTATTTAGATATATTCGTGGTTTATATTATACATGGAAAGGTTTTCAAAAACGTCATAGTCCAAAATGGAAACGTTTCTATTTAACAAAACAAATTTTAATTGATGCTGATATTGCATTATTACGTGTATTTGATTGTTTTATGGATTCAGGTTCTCAGGTTATATTACAATTGTATATAATGTTACGACTTGGTTCAATGTCGATGAAATGTAAGAAATCAATTTCTTTTCCTTTTTGGTTTATTTTTTTTATTAAAAATCATCTTTGATATGGTTTTGTTTTTTGTTTTGGTTCTCAGTTGATACTCTATTTGCAAAGCAATCTTTATCAATTATTTCATCACTTGGTTCATTAGCTTATGCATTAAGTGGTTATTCAAGATGTTGGAGACATATGCAATTAACACACTCACCACATGGTTGGCCAAAAGGTAAACCTCCTCCACAATTAGTTTCTTGGTGGAGTACAATTATACAATGGGTATGTTATGAATCATTGATAAATATTAATTATTATATTTTGTATTTAGTTTTGGTATTTATTTTTAATAACACCACGAGTTCTAGCATTGGCAATGTTTGCTGCAACATTTCGTTCATGGTTTTGGATTATTCTTGTTGGACATTGGTTTGGAATGCTTTTTTGGATTCTTCGTTTTGTAAATATTATTAAATTATATCATTAATTATTTTTAAATACATACTTTTGATTTTTTTCTTTTCTTTTATTTAGCGTACAATTTTTTGTATTAGTGATCAAACAAAATATAATCCACGAGAAGCAATTTTTGAAAAATGTTATAATCTTGTTTGTTCATATATATTTATATTTTGCTATATGGTAAATTTATTTTTTTAAGATAAAAGTTATTAGCACAGATACTATGTCAATACAAAAAAAAAAAAAGGATTAATTCATTCTTATATTTTAGAATTTACGAAAAGGTGATACTCGTTTACATTATATTGGTTTTTATACAATTTATTATATTGAAAATATTTCATTTTCAATTATTTATGCAATTCATTCTGCTGAAACAAATTCTGTTTTAAAATATTCTCTTGTTACATTTGTTTGTCTTGGTTTTTGGTTTGCTGTTTTTTTTCAATTTATTTATTATCGTTTTTTACATCCAAGTGATCATGTTCGTATTAATACAAAACATAATGTTGCATCTATAGCACGTATACGACCATTACCACGTTTAAATCGTATGAAAAAATCAAAATCATGTGAAGAAATGATTAATCATAATGATTTACAAAATCAAAATGAAAATAATGATCTTAGTGAAACAATATCATTACAATTTAATTCAAATTCAATTAATGAACGATGGCATAATCGTTTTTCAAAAGAAAATAGACAAAAACTTATTTCACAACAACAAGCTATTGATCAAAAAGTTAAATTAACAAGAGCACAAAAACAATTGGTATAAAATATCATTAAACAATAATTGTTTAATAAAAATCTCATAAGTTTTAAAAAAGGCACAGATAATTTATGATGTCTGAAGTTCAGTATTTCTTCATTGAGGAGGAGATGACGTTTTTTACTAGTCTTATAACCGAGGCGCAGTGACGCAGCCAGGGGGGATTATGGGGATCGATCCCCCCCCGAAAGACCGAAATGCCTGGAGGGGGGTACAGGCTAATTCGTTTTTGCTAGTCAAAAAATGTCTTTTTTTTTTTGCGGGCCCCCCCCCCCCCCCAAAAATTTCTGGCTGCGTCACTGCCGAGGCGACAACAGATAATTGAACATTCAGTAGTAAAGATGTGCAGTTTTAGATAACTTACTATCGAGAATCCTATTTCAGATGGGTTACCTTTTTCTCATGGTTCTACCTCCATGTATTCTCTAACTGAAACACACCAATATTAAAAAAAATCTTATTTCGATAGAACTAATTTCTCAATATTCCTTACTTAAGTTCACCAAGAACTACGACTACTAAATGATTTACTGCTGTCTAAGCATTTTTTTTTTGTCTTCCTTCTACAATTCTACCTAAACTCCATCATTGTAAAATTTCTATACTTAAATTTTCTAGGAAGAATCGACAAAACGTCAGCAACATCAATCACATAGTATTCTAACAAAATTCTCTACAAATTTCAAACAACCAACTACAATCTCAGCATCTACACCAATAGAAAGTAAAGATAATAGTAGTATATCTAATACTACTACTGACCATGATTCATCGAATGTTGATAATCGTAGTATTCGACGTCAACCATTTTTTAATGTAACACGTGTCTCGTTAACACGATCACCACATCAAGAATCCTATGCTAAAATGCAACAAGAAGATGAAGAAGATTTTGATAAACCATCTATTTCATTTATATCAGATAAACGAACACCACAACATCAACAACATTTAAAAATGTATAATATTGATGAAGATGTACATATATCAGATGATAATTATAATAATAATTCTTCACATATCAATCCTAGTCATAATGACGATGGAGAAGAAATGATTTTAACTGCTGCAAAATTGTCACCACATATTATATCTTCTCCTACAACTGATAATAAATCATATATATCATCAACACCAATAAAAAATATTTCTCGATGTTAAAAATCAATTTAAAGTTAGTACATTTTATTTGATTACAAACATTGAATGAAAAAAAAACAATCTTTTTTTTTTCTAGAACTATCAAAATAATAAAAAAACAAAGATTGCAATATTTTTGATTCATGATTATTGTTTTGAACGACATATTGTCTTCAATACATAGATTTTTTTTTCTATTCTATTTCACTGATGGTTTCGTTTTTTCTTTGATTTACAACATTCTGTACAACAGTGAATAAATATTTAGATTCTCTTAATTTTCTTATTTCAATCAACGCAATTCTCTTTCATTTCATCAATTGTGATCATTTTTTTTTTGAAATTTTGCATTTAAATTGTTCATACAAAAGACTAGTGTAAGATAAAACATTTTGTTTTATATTATATATATATATATGATGTCTTCTTTTATCTTTTTGTTTAAATTTAATTTAGTGTTAATCAAACTGCATCTAGTCACGAACTTTGCTCAATTAAACATATCTTCTAAGAAATACATACCTCGGGTCTTAAGTTATTAGGATATGTTTTTCTTTTTTGTTCATACATTGTCGCCTTTATTTGTTTTTTGTTTTTCATGTATATTTTTGTATATATATATATATATATGTGTATTCAAAAAATGGTAGAGTTGGTTTTTATTTAATACACACGCAAAGCAATTTGTATTCTCTTCAATGATAATGTAAGCAAGCGTAGAAAAACTATTTTATTTGTATTTTACAATAAAAACTGTGCAAATTTTCATCATTTGATGATTACAAAAAAGTATATTTAATTTTTCTTATTGAATTAAGTAAAATTCTTGTAATATTTATTTCAATTTCCTATAGACCTATCAATGACACAAGTTTATTAATTTGAATTAGTTTTCTATCAAAAAATAAATAAATAAGTATAATTTAGAATTTTGTAAGGTAATAGTTAATTAGATATTGTTGATGTGTCACAACAAGACGAAGGATAATTGACTTTGCTATCTAATTTTATGGAATCCTGAACGCCGGCATCCTGTTTTTGAATCCGAACTTTGATGTATTTCTCTCATGATAAAAAAAAGCTATCAGTGAAACTTCAATAATGTTATTGACATATGGTCTTTGATTGTATATCAACAATGTCTATTGCACTTTGTGACGGTCTGTTGATCTCATCAATCATTATCGATGATATTTCCATTGGTCAAGTCTGTCCATTTTCTGGGAGATGGGGCAGAATTTTTACACTATATACTTCAACATCTCTTCTCAAGCATGTTTCGTTAAACGAAGCAGGATTTTTGAAAAAAGCTTAAAATCTCTCAAAAAAAAAATCTTTTCAGCTTGATCGGACAAGTTTAGAGGAGGGAGAGAGCTCATAAGCACGCTTCATGCAGTCTCATGAAAAGTCAGAGTGAAAGAACTGCACAAATCTTATTTGAAAATTTTTTTGTTATTCGAACATATGTGTTTTGATTTCAGATATGATAGCAATGGTAAAAATTTTTATTTAATTGTTTGTATCTTTTATATTCATTAGATTGTCGTTCAAGACGATTGTCATATAATTCTTTTCGATTTTTTATTAAAGATTAAAATAAAATGTGCAGTCACACACTCACTGTAATAAAAAAATAAATGTTTTTTTTATTTTCTTTTATATTTATCAAAATATGTGGAATAAGTAAATCAAAGTTTTTAATAAATAGATTGAAGAACATGACGAAGACCACTTGTATCCATATTAAGTAATTGTCGATTTCGATCGGTTTGAGTATTTGGTGTTATTTCTGTGTTTAAACGACGTCGTGTTTCTAAAGCTCGTTGTTCAAGCATAACTGAATTTGACTTAACTGCTATTTCATCTTCAATTCGATGTAATTGTTGTTGAAGAATATTCCATGCATGTCTAAAAGAAAATTGTTTTGCAAATTTTTCGAAAAAAAAAATCAAATTTTCTTTTTCTTGTTGTTTTACTTTGTTTGTTTTAATTGATCTTCTAAAGCACGTTTTTCAGCTTTTAATTGTTGTATTTCATCACATAACTAAAATTTTCGATTTGTAAAAAGAAAAAAAAATAAGAGAGCTTGATCAACATACTCCATAGGTAACTTCATCACGAACTAAATCCATTCCTGGACGACTATGACGATTTTCTTGTCGAGACATAGCTAATTTAATTAATGGTTCTTTATCTAAATTAAAACAACCAATAAAGATTTTCTTTTTCCATAGCAGTTCTTTTTTATTTTATTTACCACGAATAGCTTTTTCTAAACGATCAATATCATTTTCATTACTAAGTATTTCTTCTTCCGTCTAGAATAATAGTAAAAGAAAATAATGTAGACAAAAAAAAAAACGATGTTATCAACTTGTTTCTTTTGCCATTCAAGTTCTTTAAGTGCTCGTTCAAGTTCATGAAGACGTTTTCGTAATGCATATTCACTTGCTTTGCTTTGTGATTCAAGATCAGCTGATGATTGACCCATTGTATGAAAGATACTTTCACGAAGACGTGTTGATTCATAAACTAAAACAAGCAATACATTTTAGTAAAATATTTCGATTGTTTTCTTTTTGCTTGAATATACTTTCTTTTTCTGCACGATCTTTATTATATTTTGAAAATGCAATCCATTCTTCCGGTGTTATTTGTCCTTTGATTGGTCGACATGGATCAGGTTTATAACTAATATTTGGTGAAAATTCATTTAATTGTAAATTTTCTTCACAGATTGCAAAAGCTGTATGTTTATCTTGTAAATCCTAAATTTGATTAAAATTAACAAAAAAGATTATTTATAAAGAAAATATTTACTCGAATTAATTGTTGTTTAGCTTCATTAAGACGAGCAATTTGATCAAATGCTGTTTGAACTTGTTGATGAAGTTGTCGTTTAATACCATCAATAACATAAACTTCCTTAAAAAGACGAAAAAATATTCTATTTTATTTTAATATAGACAATTATGTACTTTTTTCAATTCACGTTCAGCTTCATCATCAACATTATCAATAGCTTTACGACCATCACGTGTAACATGATTTTCCAATGAAACATCTGTATAAATATTTTCATTTCGAATAATAAAAGTAAATCAAATAGAAATCGTACCTAATGGACTTCGCATATGTGCAAGATATCGTTCACATTGTTCTTTAGTAGATTGTATAGCTTGAATTTCTCGATCAACATCTTGAATTGTATATTCAAGTGTTTTACGCCATTTATCTACTTCATCAAGTCGATCAGAAATTCGTACATCACTGAATAAAAAAAAAACCAAGAAATACACGATGTCTTTCAAGAAGACGAAAAAACAAACAAACAATGAGAACTATTCATAAAGATTTTAGCAGTTATTTATTCAACTAAAAACAAATAATATCTGTAAACATACTTATCATGTTTATTCCACCATGATTCATTGTATGTTTCATTGATTAATCGCCGACCATCTTGTCGTACTTGATGCGATACATTTCGACTACGTTCTGCATCATATGATATCGCATAACTATAAAAAAAGTTTGAGGGATATGATATAAAATATTTCAGAATAAAACTCTCACTTATGATTGAACCAGTCTGGTACACTGTATTTAGCGCGTGGTTTTTGTTCCAATGTTGGATGAAGTGTATGGATGGCAACTTCTGATTGTGGCTTCAATGATTTAGAAAGCGATTCAAATCCACTCATGATGAAATAACTGTCGAACCAAACAAAAACAATGCAACAACAGTAATGGCAGTAGCTGATCCTCAGTGAACGCCGAAGTTATGTTTGTTTGCCATTCCTATCAATATCTCTATGGATAACCTTGACAACTAGAAGTTTTTGCTCAAAACTCAATTATCGATTGAAGAGGATGGTAATTACAAGATTTTAGATCTTTTCGATATTTTATTGTACTTGAATCTATAATCAAAAATTAGAAAGAGATGTCACTAGGAATCATTCTCAGTAGTGGCATATCTAGAGGGTGACTAGGAAGGGCGGCGCCTTCACAACAAGAGTCTTTGCCCTCTCATTGACAAGATAAAAAAACTTAATAATTGTCTTGAAATTTTTATCGTTTTCCTATCATATTATATAGCTCTAGAAATTCAGTTAACGAGGAGTAGGTGCACCTGCCAAAATTAATAGAGTTTTGCTTGAAACAAAATATTCCTATTCGAAATAGAAGGGTGCGTATATGAACCATAATCAGCAATTAGTTACATCTACTATGAATTTAGAGTAATACATAATACAAAAAGTGTAGAGGATGTATTGATAGCAGTGGCGGAGCCAGGGGGTGCAAGGGTGGGCTGAGCCCACCCTACAGACCTTTGAGCCCCCCTAGAGAGAGTTTAGAAAAATCCATTTCTTTATCAAAATATGTATCAATGTTTGCTATTTCACATATTAACATATAGGCTGATTACGTTATTTTTTATAGTTTTCTTCAGTTTACTGTATTTCTGCAAAACATAATACGTTTCTTATTTATATATGACTGGATAGAGCATTCATTCCTCTATCGAACAGTATATTTTTTATCTGATTTATCTCTCATATTGATCATGAATTTAGTGAAATTCTCAAAGCTCTCAAAAACTTTTTTCCACGGTGATAACTTGTGTCTCAAGGAAAAATGGGCTTCTCAGTATTTTTAAGATTTCTCCTGTATTATCCTTGTGATTAAAGCTCTTTTTATTATTAAAAGATAGCACTTGAAATTCTCTACAAAATCATATATGATTAGGTCCAAAAACTATTTTAGATATATTTGAAAAAATGCGAAAACTAAAGGCATACAAACAGCTGTAAAAAGTAAATAATGGATGTCCCATAATAAATGGCCGCATTTTGGATTTCGTATTTTAATCTCTAGATGCACTTTATTAAAAAAACAAAATATATTACAAGATGCAGCGTGAAAAGTTCTACAATCTACAAACTAAAGTTTATTTCAATTGTACACTTTTTATTTTCAAAAAAAAGCAAAACTCTGCGCGACCAATTTTCACCGATACGAAAACCGATCTCACAGAATTTGGAGGTTTTTTGAACATAATAAGTACACAAGTAAAATAAACTGTTCTTTGTAAACTGTAGAGCTTTTTATGCTGCATCTTGTGGTGTATTTTGGTTTTTTTAAAAGAAACATATTAGGTGAAAAAAAGATAAATTAAGGAAAAGGAATTTTCGTGCGTGTAAAAAAATGATTTTTGCACCATGGCAAAATTGGTCACAGAGTTTTGCTTTTTTTTGAAAACAAAAAGTGTACAATTAAAATAAACTTTAGTTTGTAGATTGTAGAACTTTTCACGCTGCATCTTGTAATATATTTTGTTTTTTTAATAAAATTTACTTAGAAAAGAAAATATGAAATGCAAAGTGCGGTCATTTATTTTTGGGACATCCATTATTTACTTTTTACAGCTGTTTGTATGCCTTTAGTTTTCGCATTTTTTTCAAATATATCTAAAATAGTTTTTGGACCTAATCATATATGATTTTGTAGAGAATTTCAAGTGCTATCTTTTAATAATAAAAAGAGCTTTAATCACAAGGATAATACAGGAGAAATCTTAAAAATACTGAGAAGCCCATTTTTTCTTGAGACACACGTTATCATCGTGGAAAAATTTTTTTTAGAGCTTTGAGAACTTCACTAAATTCATGATCAATATGAGAGATAAATCAGATAAAAAATATACTGTTCGATAGAGGAATGAATGCTCTATCCAGTCATATATAAATAAGAAACGTTTTATGTTTTGCAGCAATACAGTAAACTGAAGAAAACTATAAAAAATAACGTAATCAACTTGTATATGATCCATCAACTTGATGGGTGTGGGTGTTGATAAGGAAGAAACTCATCCTCAGACCCACACCCCACACCTACACCCACATCCACCCAGGGGCGGATCCAGAAAACCACTAAGGGGATGGCGATTTGCCAAAAGGGGCGGCGATCTTGGTCAAATAATGGTTTTCGAACCCTTTTTGATGTCTTACCACTCCTTTTTTCTTATTTCTGTTGAGAAAAAATAGAAAAAAAAATTTGGAAGGGGGTGGCGGTCGCCGGTTCTCCGAACAGGTGGATCCGCCACTGCATCCAACTCACACCCACATACACCCATACCCAAATTGAACATTTTTGTTTTACTTGTTCGTTCAGCTTATATTCTGAGGAAAGAATCACCAAAAAGAACTATCCACTCTATATCGAGATAATACAAGAAATTCATATTCCTAATACGAGTCAAAAATATTCTCGGGGGCTGAGCCCCCCTAGCCCAAAATCCTGGCTGCGCCACTGGTGGATAGACTTGGATAAAATTAATAGCTTAGATAGTTAGAGTATAGCCCTGAATGATGAGGAAGCAGTTGACTCATAAAACCTTTTCTTTTCAGAAATATATTCTTGATGGACTATATGCACACAATTTTTAGATCTCTAGTATCTGGAGTAGTTGAGATCTGGTTGTGTGTAGACTTTTCTTCACTATTGTGTTATTACTTTTTAATCTATATTAATAATACACGTAGAGGATTAGTGATTTTCTCCACATTCGAACATGAAGCCCTTGATTTTCCATGATTATGTAGATTGGTCGTGCTCGTAAACTATTAAGTTGTCATAGAACCAAAGTCACACAATTGTAGTTAAGTGCGAACTTTTCTAGAAATTTCTTGAAGTTGAGATGGTGTAATTCGAATAAAAATCAATTAAAATTTATTACAATAAACAAGTCAATTGAAATTGATTTCTTAGATTATTCTAATCACATGGATTTTAACGGACTATTTACGAAATCAATAATAATTGTTTCGATTCTTAGTCGATTATTGCGATACTCCCATATGCTTCGAGAAAAAAATAGTGAGTGAATGTTTGAATCGAGGCTTTTGTGGCTTCGGAATTTTTATCATCCTCTAGTCTCTGACAGCTGCGAGTCGAAACTCACAGATTATAGGGTACGTTTGCCTAGTAATGATTGAGGAAAACGACAATTATAAAATACAATTCCTAACAATGGAAAAAACGTATTCAATAACATCAGTTTCTTAGTTATTTGCAAACTTTCTAGAATCTTTCAAAGCATTGTATCAAGCTGAGATTTCTACAGTAGATTCTAACTTGTCTTTATATTGCGGTGTTTGGTATTTGATGTGAAGAAAGGATCTGATGGTAGGTTTCAATCAGTATACCTGTAGTATAATTAATCTAGCAGAGCTAGAATAGGACAAACACTAAATAGTATGAACCAGTTGAATTCTAAGTTTATGAAAAACTCAACAGTATATGCTAAAGTTCGTCAAGTTCAAGAATGGTGTATCTAAAAGCTTCCTCAACTATTATATCAAGGTTTATAGCATGTTAATAGGATCCTTGAACCAATGAAATGAAGAATTAAATGATAGATGCCACTTCGTTATGGCACATGCATCGTCTATATCATCATTATGGGAAAAGAACTCGCAAGCGTTCTAGATTATTTTAAGACGTCCAGGTTTTAATAGATTACTGTTCATATGGATTGAAATCGTTTCGGTTCTTACTTGATTATTTAGATTATTCCAAAAAAAATGAGTTTTAATAGATTATTGGCTGAAGGATTCCAGTTTAATCTCTTATTTTGTTGAACTTAATAAAAATGCGGTGTATTGGATCGAATTTATGTGACGTTCATCGAGAAACCAATTTTACTCTGATTTTCACACCGTTTTTTACACAAGAGTTTCTGGTTATCTCTTAACATCATTCAAAAGTTTGTAAAGACAGATTCCATTATAGCAAACAATAGATTTTCTCACATTCAATTTCTTCGAATGCATTGAGATTAGTATGACTTCACAGTATACTAAAGCCAATGGAAAAATAAGGCATCACACACGCTGCGGATATTGATCGACAGTTTTTGGATCAGTCTATAATAATTCCAAGTTTGGAGGCACGTTCTGTCCTACTTCTGGTTGAATCTATGCAGTCAGTAACCACTCTTCTATTCGAAACTGAAAATAATGTTTGCCAGATCCCATGAAATTGTCAAGTTAAAAACTAGGAATCGATTGAAGAGTAATGAATTAGCCTCTATCAAATGCCATACAATGCAATGGAAATCATATTATCGATGTTTTTGATGGTTGCTCTTTCAAGTCTTTCAACAAGTCATCGTATCATCTACCAAAGCGTCAATATAGATACGCATAACGACTATCCTCAAGGAAAGGTAATGTGTTGACGAGAAGGTTTTCATTGTATACGCTGTCTATCGCCGCCTATTTCAATCTAGATGAAGAGAACATCTACATTCACATTAATCGACCGGATAAAATAACGAGAAAATTATTTTTTTAATGTTGTCTAAAAAAACAATCGAAACATCGTCAACAATCTACCAAAATAATTTCTTTAGCTTCTTAATCGAATTAAGGCATGATGCATTTAACGCAGTTAATTGTTTGGATGTTCATACGATTTTGAAAACAAAAATCAAACGAATATTAAAATAAAGGTTTTTTTCAACCGGCCTTTATGAGGACAAATTTTTGCTCTATAACTGTATACCTCTGACAAACGAAAGAATGACAAATATTGATTCAATATACTTTCTGTACGTGAGGTTTCGTTCTATTTAACAATGTTATTGAATTGATCCATATCAAATACTATATGTCATTATTTTCTTTGGATCCGTCAATATTAGAGATCTTGATGACACCTTAGACGTTGAGTCAATCAAATATTGGACGTTTTGAATCGAACTAAAACAAATTGCATTAATAACGATCCACTGTCACGCCAATAACATCGATTTCAGATATGACCATCAAGCCGCATTGAATTCTAACACCATCATTCTCTTTTCAAGATCAAAAGTCCAAAAAAAATGTTTATTCGTCTCTGTTAGGAATAAAATCATCATGTGATTTCATAGGCTTCTCTTGTGCTCCTGTTAGCTTATTGTTTCTTATGCAGAAATTTAGTCTATTAAGTTTTGTAAAATCTTTCCTTTTATTCATTTTTCATATCATGATGTGTGAAGCATTGAGCATTCCATAGTTCGACCTTAGTCCAAAGGTATTCAATGTTCTTTATGTTTGTTGTCTTGCAAATCTACTCTTCCATTCGCCAGGGATGACTAGGATTAGTGATGTAAATGTCTTAAATGCATCTCAAATACTTACTCATATCCTTGAGCAAATATCAGTATTATGACGCGCACAAATGAAAAACATGTTTATGTGCTGACGTCATATGACATACTCGTAATGATAGAAACAATATATCTTATGAATATTACTCATTCTTATCGACAGTAAGTGGAGATAACGCAACCCAATAGTACTTATATATATATATATATATATATCTGTACGTAGTGGTGCATTAGCCGTCCACACAGCGATTGTCTTATTGACAAATACCAATGGCAAAAATTTGCATTATTTTACAACTAATCATCTTATCTCTAGCGATCGAGAATACCAGAGCTGTTTCGAGTCCTCTAGCACCTTTCACCACATACAAACATTCGATTGAACTCCTGAAAAATGTAGCCGATCTCTGGTGGACAGTCGATGAAAATCAACGAGAAATCACATTTGAATTACACATCAAAACAATAGGCTGGATAGCATTGGGAATCAGTTCAGGTAGATTATTCTTTCTATTCAATTTTAAAATCTTCATTCACCATCTGACTGTATTCAGCGGGTGGCATGAAAGGTGCCGATATTGGTGTAGGATGGGTTGATGAGACCGGCAGTGTACATATTCAAGTAAAAACAACCCATCTATCTTGTACTATAAAATCTAACTTGTATATCTAAAGGATCGCTATGCATTCGCCAATGGACGTCCTATGATTGATAATACCACGATTGATTGGTTTGCTCTCCAAGGTCGTGAAGCAAGTGGATGGACAGCTATTCAATTCAAGCGTTTACTAGACACTTGTGACATCATGGATGTTCCAATTAAGGTAATATTATATGCTTTGAAATAGGAAAGTGGCTTTGACTACTGAGCAATGCAATGGTGAGAATTCCTCCCAGATCTATGGAAATCAACTCAAAAAAGCCATGAGTGAAACCACAATAGTTTATATTTGATAAAGGACGGATAATATGTTTCAGTGGAATTATTTTACAAGATGAATCACTAGAGGAGGCTTCCAAGAAACTGCAGTACTCGGTGCACATAAGAACTATTGGACATTGAAACAAGCAAAAATTTGCAATCTCAGAAATTGAAAATATCTGTTTCAGATTTCGATGTGGCAAACCATTGAACAGAAGTGATGCTACTCACTAGTAGGGAAGATCATTCGAATCAGAACGCTTTGTCAATGTGCACTCGACAGAGCAATTTAGCTTTTTCTTACACCTATATGAAACATCTGTTCAGTGCAAGTACAGCTTCGAATAGTGAATACAACGTTTTTCAGGAGAAATCGATCGCTTTGTTCACTTATAAGTATATAATGTATCCATATTTAGTCTGGTACCAATAATCTTATTTTTGCTTATGGTATGACCGATCCTAGTCCTTCAGGATCAAATGGTGAAATCTCTTATCATCAAAATCGACGCGGTTCACGTACTCTTCCTCTTCGATCATATGCTGATCCACCATCCGAAGAGACATTTGCTGGACTTGACTATTTTGAATTTCGTTTAAATAATGTATGTCACATTTCCATGTCTTATTGAAGTCAGTATGCTATATATGTATTGAATCCTCTCTTTTCAGTATGTGGTTCCACCAGCGGAGACAACTTATCATTGTAAAATATACAAAGCTCCGAGTAATTATTCCGTGAAACGACATGCTATTGGTGTACGTATCATTTGCTAATAATAACTTTTATTTTTATTTCATTTTACATAGCACAAGACAATTGTTGATTCAGCCAACTTAGATCTTGTTCATCATCTACTAATGTATGAATGTGATCCAACAGCTCAATTTGATGATAATAACTTACCTGATGGTTCATGTGATACAATTTCTCAACAATTAGCACCGTGCGCTTCTAATATTGCAACTGGTTGGGCTGTCGGTGGCGACTATGTAAGATCAAAAATATTTCTGAAATAAAAGAAGTATTGAAAAAAGCTATCTAAAATAGACGGTTGCATTTCCAGAAGAAGCTGGATATCCTGTTGGAGGTAATTTCCCTATCAAGTATTATCTGGTTCAAATGCATTATGACAATCCAAATCAACTTTCAAGTATGAAAGTCAATTGATTTGGAATGAAAATTGACAAATAATTTTCGACGTTTTACTTAGATCGTACGGATAGTTCAGGTATTCGTTTTTACATTGGAAAAGAACTTCGTCAATATGACCTTGGCTATTTGACTTTGGGCACTGATTCAAGTGCCATTGGTCTGGCTATTCCACCAAAAGTGGAGCGATTTATTGTTGATTCGTACTGTTCAGCAGATGCTACAATGGTAAATATGACTTTTTCTCTATATATCTTCTAAATATTTCATCATGGATACTGTTCTAGAATTTTCCCGAAGAGGGAATAACAATTGTCTCTGCTTTTCCACATACACATTTGCAAGGTAAGCTCTAAATAACAAATTGAAGATGGCTTTGTTTGCAATGACGATGTATTTTGTAGGTCGAACAGTATGGACGAAATTGATTCGAAATAAAACAGCTGTACAATATTTATTCGATGCAGAAGCCTATGATTTCAATTATCAATACGAAAACCGTTTACCACAATCGATCAAATTATTTCGAGTAAGATAGAATCGTTTGTCTCTCATTCGAGAATCGATGTTTCTTT